GATCCTGGATCGGCTTGAAACTGGACTACCACAAGCATGACTGGAGCAGTTTGAATGGTTGTGGAACTGCGATGGAGAAGGCAATGGAAAACCACCTCATAAGAATTTCCTATTCTTTGTTTCAAGTTAAGAAAATAACATTACGCTTATGGAGATCAGTGTTGCCAAAACTCTCAGACACTCTCTTTTGCACAGATGTCCAAAATATTCCCTTTGCTTAATTTTTGAATTTTCATTTTCAATTAACATTTAACTGTAAAGTCAGAATAACTACAAAATAAAAGCCCTATTATCATTATTATAGTCATAGAACGACATAAAATCGCTGACATACGCAAATCGTATTATTTTAAGTTGCAATTAGTAATTAGATATAGGCATTCCAAGCCCGTTTATTTGCTTTTAAAACTTTAATAGGCGGCAAAATGCATGATTTAACTAGGCAATATTTTCTACTGATTTCTATGATTCATGGCTCACCGAAAACCAAATAAACTGTCGTTACTATAATTAAAATAAGATTTTACTTTTGTAAATACTATTTATCTAATTAAAATCATTTTCCCTACTTTTCATCTCTTGTTTCGAATGGGCACTTTTGGTTAATTACGTTAAAAAACATTAATTTAATTCATATCTGTGGAAACGAAAATACAAATTATACAACCCTAAATTGTGCTTGTGTGTGTCGTGGCAACGCCGCGTTTCTATCGTCCATAAGAAATACATGGCCTTATCTCCGCAATGTTATTTTCTTAACGTGGAACGTAGTATAGAATAGTTATCATGGCAATACACTACGATAACAAAAACATTACTGATCATGGTGATCGGATTCCAAAACCCGGCAGGGGAGGAAGCACACAAACAAATAGTAGGGCCTCCCTGGTCATCAGCCAGCGAAATCCCTACGGCCTAAAAAAGGAAGTAAGTACTCAACACCTAAGGATTGGAACTTGGAATGTACGAAGTATGTACGAGAGCGGCAAAACTCATAACATTGTAAAAGAGATGAAAAGATTAAAAATTGATATTGGGAATTAGTGAAACACACTGGCAAAACTCTGGACAATGCGATATACCTGGATATAAAGTTTACTATGCTGGAAACAACACAACACATCACAGAAACGGCACTGCAATAGTAGTTGACCCACATATTAATTCGGCAGTAAAATCTTTCACTCCCCATTCAGATAGAATGATGCTTCTACAAATTCGAGCAACACCGGTGGATATTAACATATTACAGGTATATCTACGCGCCAACGGCAGATAAGGATGAGGCAACCAGGGAAGAATTCTACGAACAACTGGGAAGCCCGATGAAAATGACAAAAAAACATGAAGTAACAATAATGATGGAGATTTCAATGCAAAGGCTGGCAGAGGCAAGGTGAATGAGATCGTGGGAAACTTCGGCCTAGGGGAGAGAAACGATAGAGGTGATAGACTTATATGCTTCTGCCAGGAATATAACCTGCTGTTAAGTAATACACTCTTCAAGCTCCCCAAACGTCGACTTTACACATGGAAATCCCCAGCTGACTCACCTGACAACATCATTAGGAATCAGATAGATTATATAGCAGTACCAACAAGATATAAAAACATGATAAAATCATCAAAAACGTACCCAGGTGCCAATGTTCCTACGCACCACAATTTGTTGGTATGCAGAATGGTCATGAGAGTAAAACGGCTCGAGAAAAGATCTAATTTAAACACAATCGATATTAAAAAACTCACTAACCCAGAAACCGAAATAAAAGTACGAGAACAACTAGGAAAGAAAATAAAGGACATTAACGAGAACACGTCGGACATAATAGAGAGATGGGATAAATGGAGGGAAGCAATCCAAACAACATGCGCGACTCTATTAAAGCGTGACCGACGGGAGAAGAAAGAATGGATGTCTGATGAGATAATGGATATGATGGATGAAAGACGTAAATTCAAGAATAAAAATGCAGAAAAATACCAGCAGATCCACAAAACCATAATAACGAAAATTCGAGAAGCCAAAGAAAAATGGTTTTCCAACGAATGCAGGGAAATAGAACAATACGAACGAAAATACGACAGTTACAATATGCACAAAAAAATAAAATCGATGACAAACAAAAGGAAATTCAATAAGTCACCCAACAGCATAAAAGATAGCGATGGAAATCTTATCTTGGAGCCATCAACGTTCTTAAAAATATGGAAATCATACATAGAAAAATTATTTGCATCTGACAGGACTGATGATCACCTATATGGAGAAGGAGAAACAGGACCTTCAATCCTATATATATGTAACAAGCGAGTCTTCTACAGCTGGCGCCGCTTCTCGCATCCTAATTTCCAGCGTTTTCTATCGAAGCAATCTTCAGTTGTTAGATCTCTGGCGGTCATTGCATCGTCGACATCGTCTCTCCAGGATCGTCTTGGTCTACCTCGTTTTCTTCTAGTTGGCGGAGTCCATTCTTCTATTTTTTTGGCCATCTATTTTCCGGCATTCTCTGAAGGTGTCCATACCAGTTAAGTCTTTTGGCTTCGATTGTGTCTATTATGTTTAGAAGTCAGCAGGTCCGGACAATATACCCTGCAAATATTTAAGATCCTATGTAAATCAGACAAACAGTTCCTTGATGATCTAGTTGTACTTTTTAACAACATATATAATAGCGGTAAAATCCCGGAGAACTGACTGCAGTCAACATTTACTACAATCCCGACGAAACCAAATGCCCAGATTTGTGATGACTACCGGCTTATAAGCTTGATCAATCATGTCACTAAAGCGTTCACTAAGATCATTCATAGAAGAATATATGATAAATGTGAGTCAAATATTGATAGATCGCAGTTTGGTTTTCGGAAAGCACTTGGAACTAGAGAAGCAATTTTCGCTCTCCAGGTGCTTATACAGCGGTGTAGAGACGTTGATAAGGACGTGTATTTGTGCTTTGTAGATTTTAGAAAGGCATTTGACAATGTCAATCATGAACAATTGATAGGTATTCTGCGAAAGACAGGTATTGACGACAAGGACATTCGAATTGTGGCAAACCTATACTGGGGTCAAACAGCAAGAGCAAAAATTGGCAACGAACTAACTGAAAGCGGGCAGATCAAAAGAGGTGTCCCGTCAGGGGTGTATATTATCCCCACTCCTATTCAATATGTATTCCGAGGAAATATTTAACAAATGTATGGAAAATGCAAATGAGGGCATAAAAAAATGGCGAGTTAACGAACAATATAAGATATGCCGACGACACGGTGATCCTTGCCAGTACCATAGACGAATTACAACAAGTAATGGAAAGACTTTATTCAGTTAGTGAGGAATACGGCCTGAGCCTCAACTTCAAGAAGACAAAGTGGATGCTGATAAGCAAAAAGCAACAACCTGCTCGACAATTACGGATAAGTAACATACTAATTGATCATGTAGAATCTTATGTGTACCTTGGCACCAACGTAAATGCAAAATGGGAACAGACCATAGAAATTAAGGCGAGAATAGAACGAGCTAGAGCAGCATTTAGCAATATGAAAAAGCTCCTCATAAGCAAGGATTTGTCTCTTCCCCTAAAACTACGTCTAGTTAAATGCTAAATTTTTCCGATCTTGCTGTATGGCGTGGAGGCCTGGACGCTGACGGAGACGGAGACGCTAACGAGGAAAATAGAAGCATTCGAAATGTGGGTGTACCAACGCATTCTTCGTATATCCTGGACCGAACATGTCACCAACATAGAGGTACTCCAAGGAATCGAAAAGGAGAAAGAGATCATGAATACAATTAAACAAAGAAAGCTTGAATATCTAGGCCACACATTGAGACACGATAAGTACCGCCTGCTGCAATTGATTGTCCAGGGAAAAATAGACAGTAAGCGGGGGCCAGGCAGGAGAAGACTCTCGTGGCTCCAAAATCTGCGGAAGTGGTTCGGGCTCACACCGGTCGAACTATTCAGAAGCGCCGCAAACAAGATCAAAATTGCCATGTTAATAGCCAACGTTCGCAACGGACAGGGCACTTGAAGAAGAAGAAGAAAGCCATTAACTTTTTAGTAGTTATTGCCCTCTTTATTTCATGTTTCTAGAATTTACCAAAACAAGCAAAAAAATGCACTACTACATACACACATTCACATGATAATAATTTAGCTTACCCCATCTAAATTTATATGGAATATATTATAACAAATAAACAGAAGGAAACTTTCAAATCAAGTTAAAAAAAAAACAAATATAAAGTTTACAGCACACAGCAATTCTATAAAAATGGTGAATGAAGTGTAATGACGAGATCATATGTTTCAGAATGTTTAGTCTAATGAAAAAAATATAGTATGATTTCAGCCACAGGTGCGTATACGAATCCATGGTATAAACAATAAGTTTTTTAGAACAATAAAATTTTCAACATACATATTTCTATAACTATAGCATACAATATATGAATTATGTTTATAATTAGTTTCGGAAAAAAAAATTATATGAAGATTTGCATAAATCATTAAATTATGCAAAATTATAATAGTCTTAAAATATTTAAAAAGTAATATTTTTGTTAAAAGAAAAATGATACTATATACCTCAGTCTATTAAGATTTTACTTCAACAAAAAGAAAACATTAAAAAAAATATTCCCGGGTAAAAAAAATCAACAATAAAGGTTGCGTTTACGAACGTTTGGCCGTAACACGGCTAAGGCAATAACTGAGGCGGTAGCTCAGTAATTGGACCAAAACTTGTTAACATAAAATATATACTATCTTCTTGAGACTCGGTTAACTATTCTGCATATACCGTTATGTTGAGAAAATATTTAATCCCAAAAACCAAATATCAATAAGTATTTTATTAATGTTAATAAGTCAAAAAACAAGATGAAAGGAGTTTTTTTCATGACAAAACTAAATATCAGTATTCTAAATTATATTTTGTCGATTATAATTTTTTCCTTTGTTCATTAACTATTTTTTGCATTGTTTCAGAAATGCTGTAGTGAGATGAGCAATAAATACGAAACGAAGATATGTGCCGCCTAAAGCGATGGACTCATACGACTTGTTCGGGGAAGATGGTACTGGAATGTTGGAAGGCCTACCAGAACTTGGTGGAGCTGCAGGGGGTGGAGGTGCTGGGGGTAGTGGTTTTGACCCGGCACCGGTGACTGGCGCTCCGAGAAATGCAACTAATGCCTATCCTACAGGTAACAAAAACAATGTTTTTCTTTATCTAAAAGCTTCCAGTATTAGGAGCTACTGTTGAAAACCAAAATTATATATGTATCAAGAAAATGACTAGATTTGTGGACAGTCAAAAATCCTTGCCAATCTTTGTTTAATGTTTATACTATTTTTTTACATTTCCAGCTCAACAGCAACCTATTTATTCACAAGAGACACCACTTCAAAAATTGGCAACTTTTGGTGGACCTGATTTCAACCACATGGACCCGAACGCGCAGAGCATGTACGCCCAAGGTTATGGTACTGACAGGCCAATGGGACCGCCCCCAGGCGCTGCTTATCAACATCAAAGGCAGATGGCAGTAAGGCCGCCTAGTGGAGCTGCATCTGCGCAATATCCGTATCAGACTGATAACATGTACTCTATGCCTGATGTACAGGTTAGTTATTCTTTATTGAAAATTTTCTTCCAGTAGTAAAATATAGATCAATAGGATTTTTTTTAACCATTACATTAAAATGTGATCTTTTGCATTTTGTATTTTCAGGTAAGTGGTATGAGTGATACAAGCAATATGCAAGCAGCAGCTGCTGCAGGATGGAGTCACAATGCTGCGGCGGCAGCGGCCGGTTATCCTAGTATGCACAGATATAGTCAGATGAGTCAATATAGGCAGCAATCGATGTCAGGTTATCCGCATCAACAAGAACCCAAACAGCAGTTTCCGTCTGGTCAGCATCCGATGATGCAGCAGCCACATCAAACCACTTACCAAATGCAACAACGACATACACCCCATTACCCTCAAGCGACATCTGGGTACCCGACTTCAGCAGCCAGTCAGAGTTATGCTGGATATATGCACCAACGCTTACCGCATCATCATCAGTATCCACAGCCACATCATCAGATGGATATGGCGGCAGTTTCTCAATCACAGCAGTATGCTCAAATGAGTCATAATCAAAATTTAACCCATGCAGCACCTTCCACCGGTCATATGGGTCAATCGCCTCACTCTGTAGGTCACACGCCACCCCAGAGCCATCCTACACCCCAACAGCAATCTCAACCACCTAACCCCATGGCACATCCTAGTAATATCGGATATAACCAAAGTCACCAAACAATGCAGTCCATGCAGAGACCTATGGAAGTTCCGCCAAGTCAACAGCAATTTCAACCAAAACATTCGGCAGGTCCAATGGGAAACGTTAGCCCTCAATATAGAGCACCATTTCCTCAGTTATCTCCTCAGATGTCGCCAAGGTCTCAAATGTCTCCAAGACCTACACCTACTTCTCAAATGTCGCCAAGACCAAATATGTCACCAGCCAAACCGAATATGTCACCTCATCCGCCGCCTATGCAACAAAATACACTGAGTCCTAGACCGACAGTCAGCATAGCTCCTAAAGTTTCAGCTCCTTCGCCAGCACCTTTGTCTACTTATTCACAACAAAGTACCTTACAAGCTCTTGAGCAGATGGTTATGCCACCTTCTAGCACAAATTCATCAGAATATCCTTCTTATCAATCTAGAAGTTCATTAGGTCCTCCACCAGGTCCACAAAACCCATTAAGTCCAGCAATGAGTATGAGAAATCCCATAAATGAACCGTGGCCACCGGTTCAGTCACGACAAGTGTCACATTTGTCTAGTTTAAATGGTTCAATGACTATGATGGATCAAAATCCGATACCAACAAGTCAGTCAATTCCTCCTACACAATCTCTACCACCTTCTGGTATGCCGAATACCCAAATGCCTCCGACACCTAATATAAACGTAGGATTTTCTACTGACGAATTGAGAAGTGATATTAGCAACAGTAGCAGTACAAATTTAATGGAAATGCAAGTGAGGGAGAAGGAATCTTCAGTTTCACAAAGCGTTCCTGTTAGTACTCACAATGAATTTACATCTGTTCAGTCTCCTACTACAAGTATACCTGATAAAATGCCTAGTAGTACGACAAACACAGAAGCTATCGTACCGACATCGATACCTTCCGTATCATCTCATCCTCCCACTCCAACACCTACATCTACTACGGATGATAATATAACAAACACCCAAGACACTAGTCTTCCTTCTAATAGCGAATCTGTGAAACAAATTGACGAATTAAGTAACACAAGTTCCACATCTCAGCAGCAAACCCCAAGTCAAAGTAGTAATAATAATTTCACAGATTTTAATTGTGTTTCAAGCATGACGGGGTATCCTAGTCAACCCGGCACTCCGAAAAGTAACAAGATGGATGATCTAGTACAATCTAATGCCTCAATATTTAGTCAAGACAACTCCGTATCTCAAGAATCTTTACCAGAATCTAATAAGTCTGATCATAGTTCAATACGCTCGCCTAGGCTGCAGTCACCTATCTCAAACAGTCAGAGCTCTATGCCGTTGCCTTCTAGTGCGCCAAGTAGTCAAAGGGACAACCGTTCAGCGTACAACGTTAATTACAACGTATCTACTCCATCGCCGACTCAATCACATTCTCTGGTGCAAAGTACTAACAGGGAACCGTCTAACACGATTATTCCGAGTATACAGTCCAATCAAATGATGACATCGCAGATGTTGCCAAAAATATCGCAACATCTCAATAGTATTCAAAGTCAAAACCAACAACTTTCTCCACAGAATCAGCCTGTAATTATTGAACAAAATCTTAGCAATAATAACAGCTTGTCTAGTCCGCCTCCTGTCAATGTTTCTACTCAAAATATAGTTTCTAATCCACCCAATGTACAGACTCTAAGTATTTTACAACAAAGTATTTCCACCTCAAACAACCTACCCAGCATGGTTGCTATAGAAAGTCCCATCTCAGTGCAAAATACACTGAATGTTTCAGAGAGTGATAATACCACTACTCAAACTATGCCTAGTATACAAAGTCAACCTAATGTACCCGCCCAGCCAAGTATATTGAATAAACCAAGTATTCCGAATGTACCAACCATACCAACACAATCGAGCATATTAAACCAACCAAATATATCGAATCAGTCAAACATGCCCAGTATTTTAAATCAAAATGCGCCTAGTGTGGTATCTCAAGTTAATACGCCTGTGTCTAATCAGAACACATTGCTTGGACCACAGAATATCACTACTCAACCGTCTCCACAGATCACTATGCCAGTTCAAAACAACGTAAATCCCTTAAATAATCCGAATAATTTAGTAACTCCGCCAATTATTAGCAACCAAACGAGTATGCAAGGTATACAATCTCCACCGCCAGCTCAACCGACTATTCCAATAGTTTCTGGTTCTCAAGGTATCCAGACACCTCCACCGATGCCCCAACACGGTCAAATATCTCACCAATTACCAACTACTAATATGCCATCCCACGGCAATATTCCAAACATACCTCCTGCAAGTAAGCCGGGGTTGTTCGATCAGGGCAATCAGATGATGAGTCCAAATGGGATTCCGATCGGTCCGAATAGGAACATGCCTCCTAGAATGACACCACACGGAATGCAACTGACCCATCCTGGAATGCCTATGGGTATGGCCGGGCATCCTGGAATGATGGGAAATATGGATAGTATATTAGTTGGACCAGGAATGCCTGGCTATCAGACGCCAATCAGTCATCACCAAGAACGAGCCGCTTTGCAACAACAGCTACAAGAAATGTACTGTATGCCTCCAGGGGCTGAACACCAAGAAAAAATTACTTTCCTTCAAGAGAGACTTAATCTCTTAAGCCAACACGAGGCAAATGACCAGTGTAATGGTGGTGCTCAGTGTATTCTTCAAAGTCCAATATTCAATTCGCAAATGATTGACAGTCCTCAAGTATCAAGTACAACAGGTAGAGGACGAGGTAAAGGACCCCCAAAGCCGAGAAAACCTCGTGTTAAAAAGGGAGATAAACTTATAGAACCAAATCAAGTTGTTACTCCAGTTAACACTGTAATGCCTATGATAACGCAGTCACCTCAACAATTACCAGTGTCGGAAGATTTTGTGACACCTGGAGCTGGTCTGAGTATACCTTCTAATGAAATGTCAGAATTTACAGACATCGGAACAGATACTGATACTGAAAAGAAAAAGAAGGGAAGAAAGCCGCGAATTCCGAAGCCCAAAGAACTGAAAGAAGGGAAAGAACTCAAGGCACCAAAATCGCCAAAAGAACCCAAAGTTCCAAAAGAAAGGAAAAAGAGGGAACCAAAGGATCCAAAGGAACCTCGGGTTAAACGAAAATACGTCCGGAAAAAGAAACCCGGCGAGTCCGAGGAAAGTGCTACTGATGAATCGTTTAATAAATCTTCAGAAAGCCTTGAAGAGGTATCGGCATCTACTCCTTGCCAGACTTTAAAAACATCCGAAGCTGAAGCCGAAGCTGTCGTACCTTTTGAAGCGAAAATAGATGATCCAGATTCACAAGCTTTACCCGAAAGTTCTGTTCCGTCAGATACAACGACTACCGATAAACCTGAAGAAATGCAGGCTGATTCTCAAACTCCAGCTGAGGGCAGTATTTCAAATGAAAATGACGATAAAAAAGACGAATATAATTTCGATGACGAACCGAGTCCAGAAATTGTTGAATTGCCAAAAAGAACCAAAAAACCTAGACCTCAAGCGTCAAAATCAAAACCAGTTTCCAATAAACGACCTAAACGAAGTGCTGGATCAGGTCGTAAACGTAGAGGTACAATTGTCCCTGAATCTGATGGAGAAAATGAGGATATGATCTCAACTCCTCCACCATCACCACCAGACGATGGTGAGAGTTCTTCTAAGCGTAGATCTGCAAGAAACACTCAACGTAAAAAGTACATAGACGATGTAATGTTAAGATTTTCTGATGATGACGCACCTCCTACTCCTACGAGAAGCCGAAAAGCTCCAGTACCTGCTACACCTCCAATAGCTACGACCCCAGCGGCGGCTGTAGCAGCTGTGGCTGTAGCTGCAGCTGCGGAAACTCCGCCGCCACCTACTCCGACTAATGAGGACGGTACTCCATCTACTGGCAATACTGATTCTAAAAACCAAATGAATTATGTGTATGTTAATCCTACTGAAGAAGACTCTATGGTTGTCCAGTACGTGTTAAGTGCTAGAATGACTCAACGCAAAAAGAAAAAAGAAGTGCCTGTTGAACAACCTAAAAAGGAGATTAAAGAAGGTGAGGAAGATGACGAAGAGAAGAAAGAAAAGGCAGAATTCTCGGATGAAGAAGCCGAGCCAAAGCCTAAACCTCCAGAACCGTCTACAATTGTAAAGGATGACGATGATGACGAGGAAGAAATGGAGGAAGTTGAAGAATATTATGTTAAATACAGAAATTTCTCGTATTTGCATTGCGAATGGAAAACAGAAGATGAGTTGTTTAAAGGTGACAGAAGAATCGCGAATAAAATTAAGAGATACAGGCAAAAACAAGCGCAACAGATGAATATATTTGAAAACCTAGAAGACGAACCATTTAATCCTGATTATGTAGAGGTTGATAGGGTCTTGGATCTTTCAGAACACACAGATGCTGCAACAGGTGAAATTGTGAAACATTATTTAGTCAAATGGAGGGCACTGCAGTATGAAGATTGTACTTGGGAGTTGGAAGAAGATGTAGATCCCATAAAAATTCAGCAGTATGAAAAGTTCAGTAAGATACCGCCTAAAGATACTTGGAAAATTAAAAAGAGACCTTCTCCAGAGCAGTGGACCAAGTTAGAAAAATCTCCTATTTATAAAAGTGGAAACAGTTTAAGAGAGTATCAATTGGAAGGACTTAACTGGCTTCTGTTCTCTTGGTTTAATAGTAGAAACTCTATACTAGCAGATGAGATGGGTTTGGGCAAGACCATACAAAGTTTGACGTTTTTGCACTCGGTGTGGGAATGGGGCGTTAGAGGTCCATTCTTAGTAATTGCTCCGCTTTCTACTATCCCGAATTGGCAAAGGGAAATCGAGAGTTGGACTGACTTGAACGTAATCGTATATCACGGTTCAGCAACGAGTAGAAATATGCTACAAGAATATGAAATGTATTATAAAAACGAAAAGGGACAATTTATCAAAGATATTACTAAATTTAACATCCTTATTACGACTTTTGAAATTATCGTTACTGATTTTGCCGATTTGAAAGGTTTTAATTGGAGAATATGTGTCATTGACGAAGCCCACAGGCTGAAAAATCGAAATTGTAAGCTACTAGAAGGACTAAGACAGTTAACTTTGGAACATAGAGTGCTGCTGTCCGGTACACCTTTACAAAACAACGTAAACGAATTGTTTTCATTGTTGAACTTCCTGGAACCAACTCAGTTCAGCAATAATGAAACTTTCGTCCAAGAATTTGGCCAACTAAAAAGCGAACAAGAAGTTCAAAAGTTGCAGTGCCTTCTTAAACCGATGATGTTGAGACGATTAAAAGAGGATGTAGAAAAATCTCTCGCTCCTAAAGAAGAAACTGTTGTAGAAGTAGAACTAACGAATATCCAGAAGAAATATTATCGAGGTATATTGGAAAGGAACTTTTCGTTTTTATCCAAAGGCACTACGCATGCTAATATACCAAATTTAATGAACACAATGATGGAATTGAGGAAATGTTGTATTCATCCATATTTGTTGAATGGAGCCGAAGAACAGATCCAATATGATTACAAAAATCAACATGGCGAAGATACTGATGCATATTATAAAGCACTCATACAATCTAGTGGTAAAATGGTATTGATAGATAAGTTGTTACCGAAGCTAAAGGCAAACGGGCATAGAGTTTTGATCTTCAGTCAAATGGTTAAATGTCTAGATATATTGGAGGACTATCTAATGTTCAAAAAGTATCCGTTTGAACGAATAGACGGTAGAATTAGAGGCAACTTGAGACAAGCTGCTATTGATCGATTTTCACGACCAGATTCTGATCGATTCGTGTTTCTTTTGTGTACTAAAGCCGGTGGACTTGGTATTAATTTAACTGCGGCAGATACTGTTATAATTTACGACAGCGACTGGAATCCCCAGAACGATTTGCAAGCTCAAGCCAGATGCCATCGTATCGGTCAACAAAAGATGGTAAAAATCTACAGGCTCTTGTGTAGAAATACGTACGAAAGAGAAATGTTTGACAAGGCTTCGTTGAAGTTGGGACTAGATAAAGCTATTCTGCAAAGTATGAATACGTCACAAGGCGGCAAAGATGCTGGTAATAGGCAGTTAAGTAAAAAAGAAATCGAAGATTTGTTAAAAAAAGGTGCGTACGGTGCCTTGCTTGACGAAGATGATGGTGACAAATTCTGCGAGGAAGACATCGATGTTATTTTGGCTAGAAGAACACAAGTAATCACGATGGAATCTGAGAAGGGTTCGACGTTCTCTAAAGCAAGTTTTGCCTCTAGCGCCAATAGATCTGATATAGCTATAGACGATCCAGATTTTTGGAACAAATGGGCCAAAAAAGCGGAGATAGACACGACAGAAAAAGACGAAAATGAAGACCTAGTTATATCCGAACCCAGACGAAGAACTCAGATAAAACGATATGGCCACGATGAAAGTGCTATTGATATGTCTGAATTGGAAAGTTCGTCTGACTCAGATCCCGAAAATGAAGGCCTTGGTATAGGTTTGAGAACAAAGAAGAAACTGAGAAAGAGAAAATACAGACCAGACGATTATATTCCAAGAGAAGGAGAACCCAGAGGAGACATTGTGTACGGCAGTTGGGCTAGGAGAGAATGCTTCATGGTAGAAAGAGGTCTGCTTACTTTTGGATGGGGAAGATGGCAGGAGATCCTGATGCATTCCCAATTGAGGAAGGGCTGGAAGGAATCAGATATCGAGGACTGTGCTCGAGTAATCGTAAGTACTGTTTTATGTATTATCAGTAAAAGTGCGTTTAAATTATTATAGCAGCTTTCAGCGAATTCAGCATCTACATCAGGGATTTTTTTTAAGTTCCTAATCTTAAGAACTAATATCGCACCTCCGCTCAAACCGTGTCAAGACAAAAAAGCAAAGTATCGAGAAAACGGCAAATAACATTATTTCACATTAACAAGTTACAAAGGTTTTTGAAGCCCTACAAAATAGCGTATTAGCTATACATTAGCCCTACACAATATTAAAAAAAAAGTGGAAAGTAAGCGGTACAGTAGACTAGCTCGAAGCTTCATAGTAAGTTTTCTGTATTTTAAAATTTAATTAGTCTTTTGAAAATTGAATAAAGTAATTTTATTATTTATATGTTTTTTTATATTTTAAACAAACTCAAAATATTATGTTTGCTCCTACCGCCACCTGTTTACGTATGAATAAAGCAAATGTTGTCTACTTCTGACTTCGTCAAATTCAGACGAAATATAAACTATTACTATATTAATAAAATATAATTAAATATCATTTAATATTAAATTTAATTATTGTGTAAACGAAATAAGATGTTCAAAAGTAATAATTGTATTTATATGAAATTATTTTAAAATGAGAAATAACATAAAAATTTAAACAGATCATTCAATATTGTTATTGATGGGATGAAATTTTTGACTTAAAAATTTTTTCAATCGTTGCGAATCGAATCTTTTATTGACAGATATTCTTTTATTTTTTTTACTTCTCATTTAATGTCATTAATTTAATAAATATTATTTATTAAAAGTGGCTTTAGTACAGAATATAATTATTATTATCTGGTTAACAGAGTTATACTTTTTTAATCATTCAACTTTAAATATAAGTAACAAATTTTAATAAAAAATATTGCAAAAAGAAAAATGTAATAACAATCAATAATAATTCCTGGAGAATATATCAATTAAATAAGAGTTTATAAAAGTCTATTTCTCCTTTAGATTGTGTACAAATTATTAACTAGGAATGTAGTTACCTTGAACAAAATTCATCAAATCAAACTTTTATTTTCCTTAATCGGTAATTTAGTAGCGTTTGCAGGCTTTCTGTCAGGAATAGATACTTTTTTTATTCCGGGTTAATAAATTACGTTCTGACCATTCAGTGTCCATGTAAGACGTTTTGTATTTTAAAACATCTGGTCTATCTTTGGTAATATTCTTCATTTTTATTTCAGAGATCTTTATCTTATTTAGAGCCATTATCACTGATTCAACATTTAACGAAAAAAAAATCGGTGTGACAGCTCATTTAAATGGTTTCCCAGATTTTTTTCCTCTTTATAAAAAATTTATGAGTAAGTAATTGAATTTAATTTATAGTATTTTATTATTGCGTAAGTGTATACCCCGACAATATACTTATTATTGTTCTGGCCGCAGCAGTTGTCCGATTAAAACACAAAATCCAGAGAATCGTCACCCGTATAATTAATCAATTCTTTTTCAATAAATTTCAACACAGCTACCAATCTCATGTGCGTCTTGTTTGCCTTCGCCTTCGTGCTGAAAGTAGTACTCTGTAATACTGTGATTTACATCACTACTTGTTATCGGTTGCTTTCTCTTGCGCCCAATTTTATTGTCTTCTGTTTTTTTTTCAATTTACTTATAGTGAAATTCATATTATTTAGTTTACTCTTATAATAAAAAACAGAAACATCGCCACGAAGTAACTGCAATATAGCCTCCAACATTATACAGTCACAATAAAGTTTTTGTTTATCTTAAGATCTTCCTTGTCTTTATTGTTGTCTTCCCGTGATACTTGTTTTTCTGTTATGTGATCTTCATATTGTTTCTTAATTTTTTCTTTGTCTTTCAAATTAACAGTTTTCTTAACTACGCAAAGCTCACACCTGTCCTTTTTGGCACGAAAAACCAAGTTATTCACCATTAAATATCCGTGAATACATTACATAATTTCCATAATTACGACCATCTCAGTTGCACTGGTTCACATAATTCCTATGCAGATCAGAAATGGTCTTTCTTCCGTATATATAATAGCCTGAAATGAATGCCCTCAAATAATGACTTTCCATTTTAGGTATTGATTTTATATGATCCCTAATTTTGTTTTTAAAGTTTCGTCAAAAGTAGAAAGCATCTTTTTCTGTGGTTTTTATGGATTGACATAGCGGGACATATTTTCGATATGTTTTAAGTGTTTATGTATGAATTGCTTCTTCTTTTCCAAATTTTGCAAAGCCCAGTAACTTTCAAACAATTTGAGCTTTATTTTATTGGTAAGAAAAAATCACATTTTAATCTACAAAGTGACCCCTAAACCTTCTTAAATAGGTTTTTTTTAGAAATAGCTCGTCCAGATCGAGTTTGATTAGCTAATTTTGAGTTTTTTTAGAATTCTAACTATATTTTGGTTCCACTGTCCTTTAGCACGCCATGTTTTACGCATAGTCTTCTGTATTGAACGCTTCTTGTTGGGCATTTCTGTCTAAATCAGAGTTCTGTCTAGTACAAGGACGTTCTTCACGATTGTTTTCGCCACCTGGCAAGGACGACGAGCTTGATGAATATAAAATTGAAACTGTACGACGAAGAACTTAGTGCTCGATGATGATGATCGATGGTTAGATAGGAAATAGTTATTTTTCTTCATGTTTTTAATATCACTGTCCTAGTTTGGATATTTAACGGAATCATCTGCGTGTTCAGTTTCAGTAATAATCTTAATTACTTTCTAGACCCAAATTAAAAGTATTGTCTTTATTTTAACTGTCGTTTAGAAGTTTAAGATCACGATTTATTGTCAATTAATCAATTATCTGGTCCCTCTTATTTATGCTGCTCTCTTAAGGTAAGTTAAATTGTATCTTTTAACTTACCTTAATCACATAAACTGTCAAGATATATGGTGTCATTTTTCTTGAGCCCATTCACGGATTGTTTTGAATAAGACAATCACCTATACTGTTTTAAGTCGACAAACGACGCTTATACAGATCTTAGATATACAACTAACTTGGCCATAACGACAAATACTTGAACCATAGGGAACACTTTTGATAGGATTTTGTAATTTTATTAAACTGTTTTTACAACCTTTTTTTGTGACACTGTTTGAGCTGAATTGCGATATATCAAGTGTAAAATGTCTATATTTATGAGGGAGAAATCGAAATATGCAAATAGTTTGTGTAGTGTTACATGTACTACTACGGACGGTAGGTACGACACTGCTGACGGTAGGTATGACACTGCTGACACATGTCACTAGTTCTGGTTCCCAAAAGTTTTTTCTTAAAGTTGTGTACATTTAGGATTTAACTTCTCCTATATTAAAAGCTGATGATGACAGTGATGTCGAAAAGCGTCCTATATTCTAGCAAATAAATATTGTTTTACAATTTGTGATTTTATTTAGAAATTGAGTAATGGTTACCTCACAAAACCACATTAGAGAGATACTTTTCATTATATTTAAAATTATTTTCCTTCCTATTATTTTTTTAGTCCATTGACTATTGCATCATGACTTAAACTCAATTACTTTCCAAATTTAACTTATTACTTTTCTCGCTGTTCCTTGTGTCTATCTTTCTAAATATTGAGTTCAGTATGTACCTCCCTTTTATGCACAGAGAAGACTTTTATAGATTTGTTTATAGGTTTTGTCCCACTTCTTCTTCTTCGTCTAGCCATTCACGTCCACATCTGAACATAAGCCTCTTCAAGTCTTCCTCTCCATTGTTTTTTATTGTACGCTACTTGTAGCCAATTTTTCCCGGCAGTCCTTTTCAGATCATCTGTCCATCTCATAGGAGGTCTGCCTCTGGGTCTTTTGTGTTGGTATGGTCTCCAGGTTAAAATTGATCTGTGCCATTTGTTTAGATCGCTCCTAGCTACATGTCCAGCGTATTCCCATTTCAGCTTTAATGCTTTTTGCACCACATCGGTGACTTTGGTTTTCTGTCTTATCCATGTGTTTGTTTTCTTGTCCTTAAGTGATATACCTAGCAGTGCTCTTTCCATCGCGTGTTGAGTGACTCTAAGTATATTCATATTCTTTTTTGTGATTGTCCATGTTTGTGCCGCATAAGTTAATATCGGAATAATGCATGCATCAAAAACTGTAGATCTAAGATGTCCCACTAGTATGGATAATATTTTCAATTCATTTATCTCTAATAATGTTTTCTATTGGTTTATATTTGTGCCTCGAATTCTACCGATATTGTAGTTGTTATTTGTGGAGTTGCTGTGTTTATTTTTGTTGGCCTTTTAAAACGAAATAATGAAAAAATGTTTTCTTCGGGAGGTGACTGCCCTGAAGGAAATTTTGACTCTACCTACAGTTCAACGTTAGTATTGTCACCTTGCCTATATTATTTATTTTCCTTTTCTTTTCCAAAATTAGTGAGTAATAAATAATACTTTTCAGCTGTTGTATTGCTTGCGATTCTATCGAGGAGACGAAAAAATTCGTAGCTTCATTTGGGATTTGATAGCCCCATCGGAAAACGGTGAACAAAAAATTTCCAAAAACCACCACGGCTTGAAAGATCCAGTGCCCAGGGGAATCCGAAACAAGCATAAAAAGAAGGACAAAGGCATCTTAACCAAAGACCTTCGCCATCCTGCTATAACGGATCCTAATCATTGGAGCAAGCACGAGAAATATGATGGGGATATATTTTTGGAAAGTAATTATAAGAAGCATTTAGGAAGACATGCGAATAAGTAAGTTTTTCAAATACATTTCATTCATTGTTTGTTATTTTAGAAAAACTTTTCACAAAATACAATCCTCAAAAAAATTGTAATATGGATTCATTTGATCGTTGATTTCAAATGTTTTAAGTGGAAACTGTATTCAGTTGATACTTTGCTAGGTTTTCTTGCTTTGAAATGACCAAATATGAATGTCCGACAAATTATTTTACAAGCAGGAACAATTCACCTTTGTTTTGTTAATATTTTTTATTATAAGTTTAAAAAAGAGGACAATTAAGTTAGTTCTTTACTCGACACAACTGTATTAATGGGGTTGACAGTTGAAATATGTAGTATGAGATATATAAAACTCTCATATGGGGATTCATCAATTTTTTAAATTAATTTAATTTTTTATTGGAACTATTTTTAAACAATCAAAACGTCAAACTCATTATTTTGGTCATAACTTAAAAACTTATCTATTTAGAGATTTGATGTCAATAGACAACTTTTTTGAAGAAAAAAAGATAAGTACACAAAATGATATGTGCTACATTCAAATCGGTTAATAAACAAAAAATTATTGCAAAATGAACAACAAAATGTGGTTTTTGAATATTCTTTATATCATTTTCTTTTTTATTAAAATTTGTTTAAAATACCAGAACTTGAGAGCCTTATCGTGTTTAAATTTTGTGCAAAAGATGGTCCAGATCGGTTGAATAGTTTTCTCGAAAATTAATTGGTTTATAAGATTTTTTTTTTTTAAATGAGTCAATTTCTAAGATTTGTTCAGATAACTTAACTGAATGGATCTCAATAAATTGGGGCTTATTTTTCTCGATTGGATGTATACTAAAGACATATGGAAAAAAATTACATTTGTGTACACAAAATGATTTAACAACAAATAACACTTTTTACGGCTGTAAACATGTATACATTTTTTTAAGAAAAGTCTAAAGTTTTTAACAAAACTTTTGGCAAATGGAATTATTTAAAATTTTGTCTGTTGATATCACGTAGACAAGTTTTTAAGTTATGAGCAAAAAAATGAGTTTAACGTTTTGATTGTTTATTTAAAAATATTTCCACTAAAAAGATGATGAATCCCTAGATGAGTATCTGAGATAGTGTAGTATGAGATATTTCGAATATCTCTATATAGTTGTGACAAAAAAATATGTATTTTTTATTAACTTTATTACATTAAATATCCAGAATTTACTGGATTAAAATTGGGAAGTATATACGCTATTGGGAGTCGTTTTCGCCGATTTTGGTATGGTGGCCATTCTAGAATGACATTTTTCGTTGCTCGCTTTCTGAACTTAGAAACAAATACACATTGCTAAACAATGTATTTAATTTCATTTACAGGTATTCTCAATTTAAAAGCAATAAATCTTAAGAACTTTTTCTGTACTCTTTTTAATAGATCTTTGTAGCATTTATAATGAGGAGACCAAATATTGCTACCATATTCCAAAACCGATCTAATAACAGTAGATATTTTTGAGACAATAAATATTAACAAATTCAGAGAGGCTACGTTTCATTAATCCTAAAAGTTTCATGGATCTATTGATTGAAACGTAAGAAAAGTGGTCCCTGAAGCTTACTGTAGTGTCAAAAATTGCCTCAATATTCTTAAATGTTGTGATTACCTCTAAAATATTCGGTTCAGTATGGTATTCAAATGAAATCCGATGTTTCTAAAAATGGCATTACCTTACATTTATTTATGTTAAAATTCAAAGCATTTAAGTTACACCAATTCAATAATCTACTTAAATCATTCTGTAATAAACTATAGTCATTGGAGTTTTTTATAACTCTTTTTAATTATATAATAATGTTTAAATCATCAGCATAGAGCAGAATATTACTATGATAAAAACAATTTTTTATATAATTTACAAAACAATTAAAGAGCAGAGGAGATAACTGTCCACTCTGTGGAACACTAGAGGTTACGTTGATAGTAAATGACAAAAATTGGTTAATTTTTACAACTTGAGTTCTGTCTGTAAGATAGCTCTCCCTCCCGCCTAATGATCTTTAATGTAAACCAGCATTATAAAGTTTATACGGACAGGATACTTAACTCTATCGAATGCCTTCGAAAAGTCTGTGTAAATTACATCAACCTGATCATAACCTCAAGAGCATCGAACAAAAATTCTTGCAAAACTAAAAGATTGGTAGTAGCAGAACGTTCTGGAATAAAACCAGGTTGGTCAGGCATTCAAGTAAGTTCAGTTATGGATCAAGTTTTGAAGCTACAATCCCTTCAAAAGCTTTAGCGAAAACTGAAATTTTAGATATTGCTCGGTAGTTTTTAATATTTTCTCTATTACCACCTTTATGGACTGTTCTAATATAACTTCTCTTCCATATCTCTGGAAAGACACCTGAGCTCAATGATAACCTACTTATTTTTTGTAAAATATAACTCGGAATAAATCTACAATTAAATATGAACAAAGAGGATATATTATCAGGTCCATAACTTACTTTTAGATTAATCTTAGATATAAATTCAAATACATCTAATACAGTAATATTACAAATGTCAACACAAAGACTATTAGCAGAGTTTACAGCTAGATAATCTGTATTACTAGTAACATAGGTTGAATTAAAAAAAATACTAAACAAATTTGCTATATTTTTTGAATTATCAGAAGTTATATTCTCATATTTCATTGTGTTTGGCAAAATCAAAACATTTTCTTTTATTATTTACATAATTCCAAATTTTTTTTGTAGTAGCAATTCCTAAATTCTTGACGCAAATTAGAAAAAAGATCATAATCCTTCTTAGATCCTGTCATTTTGTATTTTGTATAAGCAATCTTCATTTGAAATAATATATGTTTTAAATGAGGAGTGTACCATTTCGGATATTTTGAGTTTTTGCATCTAGTTTTTGGTACAAATAGATTAATATAGGAATCTAACACTTCATAAAATTTATCAACGCTTATTATTATTTACATCTCTCATTAATAATCCTATCGCAGTCGACTTAACCTAAGTATTCATTAATAAGGATATAATTAGCATTTTTAAAATCAATAGAAATAATCATAGCTAAGAGAGTCTAAAATAACATTTTCAATAATGTCAAAGGAAAAGGCTGGATGATAGCTATCACATTTTAATAATGATTGATCAGCAATTTTTAAGTCAGTCAAATTTATTATTATGTTATTTATACTAGAAAAAATAAGATCTAAGAAACCCCCATTACAGTTTGGTACATTATGTAATTGAAAGATTTAAAAAAGCAATGTCCCTCTTAATCGCTCTAAGAACTCCTCTAAGTCGTTTACATGAACTGTTTAAGCTTCTAAACAGTTCATGTAAAGCTTCTCACAGTACATATATTGTACTGTGAGATGCGTAGTTCATTACTCACTATACTATCACATAATGAGGTTTCAGTAAATGCCAGTATATCATAATTATTCGCTGTTACTGATTCAGAGAGTGTATTTAGTTTTGTCTGTAGTCCTCTAACATTTTGCTAATAGACACTGTAATAGCCATTTGATGCACATGTACCTCCAGATGGTCGTCTTATTGGGGAAAATTTGGTGGAATATTCGTAGATTTGTTCCCACCATCAGAAGAAGACGGACCAAGAATAACATTATTTCTTTGAGTTGTCTTTCTTTTTATGTTAAATCGTCTTAGAATAACTTCATCTGTCCAAAATTCCACACAATTAATTGTATCATGGTACTTCAATAGTGTCATTAAAAGGATATTAAAAAAGGAATAATAAAAATAACTATTTCATTTCCACGAATATAATTTTGAAGGAAAGGTATAAAGCCGAAAAGACCAGATTCCCGAAATATAACTTTATATTTTTAAAACACCCAACAAAAAAATTATATAATTAAAAAAAATTCACAAAAGTGCAATATTTTTCCATTTTACGTTCATAAATATTTCCCAAATTATAATTCCTTTATAGGAACCTACCCCATAACGTACGATTAAAAACTTAGACACCATAGTTATTTCTGACATAGACAGCACAGGCCTATCTCTGTAACGCTGCCATCTGAATGTGAATTTCAGTCTAGTATGTTACCAAAGAACTTAATATGGAGAAAATGCTTGTCAGCGTTTAATTGAATCTGTTATTAATAATCCAAAAATCAATTGTTATTCTGATTCAGATTAAAATGTGGTAAGTACTAAACGTTTTATGGAGTGGGAGAAAGTACTAAAGTACTAAATGTTTTATGGAGTGGGACTAGTTGCATAGTGGAGAAACACAACTGCTGTAATCTGTAGTATGGAAGTTTTCTTCAAATTTTGTGATACACCTTGATACCGTTTTGAATTAATAATGATTTATTATTCTGCGTAATTTTTGAAGTTATACTTCTATACGCGTATTCGACGTTGGAAATTTGTACGGGAGTGAATCCGCAAAACCATTACATAAGTAAGATATAGGTAAGAGAGAGAGACAGAAGATATGTTTTCTCTCTCGAGAATAAAAATGTTCCTTTTGTAAATGTATTTAATATTGATTAATATTATTACTATTTTATATTAATTCGCTCGATATATACATTTGGCCAAATTCTTTTACAAATAAATATTCTTCCTGGAACTTCTATGATTCGTAATAACCTTTCCATTTTTGGAATACAATAAATAAATAAACACAAACCCAAAATACAACCAAAAAACTGACATCTTAGATAATGTTCTTGTCAAATAATGACAATGATTAGCCACCTTATTATTTAAGGTTATTGGTCGAATTAGTTGAAGGGCGGTATTTAGAACCAGAAGTCGCGAGTTCGATGCCAATGAGGGAATATATTTTTTTAATTATTATGTTCTGATTTCTGTCTCTTTGGTTTTAAAAATCAAAAAATGGAGAAATCATAATATCTTTTTGAAGTTCTACACGCGCGTTAGACGTTGGAAATTTGTACGGGAGTTAATCGGCAAAATCATTACATATATTAGATGTAGGTAAGAGAGAGGCAGAATATATATTTTCTCTATCTCTCTCGAGAATAAAAATGTTTCTTTTGTAAATATATTTAATATTTATTAATATTATTATTTTTTTATTAATATTATTATCATGGTAAATTAAACATATCCGTAAGTAAGTTATGTATATTGTCATTTTTAAATACTTATGAATGTTGCAGTGTATTGTATTATATTTTTATATTAATAACAAAATAAGCAATTAATTTTACTGCAGAGTATGTGTAAAAAAATTTTTTGCATTCAACACCTTTCATACATATATGAAAATAAAAATATACATTTTCACCAAATATTGATTCAATCCTTCATTTACTATACTCCTATTACAGGTCAAATGTTGTTTATATACAGCAAACGATGCACCATATACCATACCTAATTCTGTTTCTATTTCTACTCTCTCTTACCTATAATATTTAATGATTGTGTATAACTTCTACCGGCAGTCCCACTGGACTGCCACACCCGTTTTTTACCAACTTTAAAGTAACTACAATCACAATATCTGTTTTAAGGGCGTATAGAAAAAAGGCATTTTAAAACCCCGTTAATAATTGTCGATTTTTTTTTATTTTAACAATATTTCTATTTGATATTCCAATTTTTTTGAGCAGGTTTTTAAAATCTACCAACATGATGACTAACATGCTAATTTAGAGAATACGTAGGTATTCAATGAAAACAAACCTATTCTCAAACGATACTGATCCGAAGCAAACAATATTTTTGATTGTTTATTAAGCTTACAGATATTTAACTTTACTATCAATTACAGAGTACTGCTTCGTGTGAGAATGCTTTACTACATAAAGCATGAAATAATCGGAGACCTGGTCCAGCAAATAGCCGACGGAGTTCATGCGAGGTAAGCCTTTTTCCTCGTTTGTGTTTTAAGTTTTGTTCTATTAACTGTCATATTTATTTTTGATATTTTCTCAAATCCATTATATTGAAGCTGTTTTTCTCGTGATTTTATTTAAACTAAGGTAAGGTTTTTGTTATTTAACAAACGTCAATGTTCAGGAAAACCTTTTTTCTTTAAATGTTTTTGCTAATTTTTATGTTTTTGTACTAAACTCTATATATGATAAAATAAGAAATTGCTTGGGTTTTTTAATGTATCGATTAATTAATCTATTAATTGAATCATTTTTTTTTATTTTGGAGTGTATTTGTCCATCCGTTTCGTAATGTTATATTGTTAAATGTTAAGTTTACTAATATGAGTTAACCAAAAACAGTGACAGTACTAGCACTGAGGTTTCCTCCCAGAATAGGATTAATTGTAAATGATATAATATATATTGTAAAATTTTGAGTTAAATAGCTGCCTTCAAGAAGCTCTCGCTTTGTAAAAAGCCTTGGACAATGGACCTTTTATTTGGCCCTATTATATCTATGGCCATTGTTTCAAGGCGACATCATACTTTCTCATAGCAACAGTTAGTTCTGCTGAAGCTATGTTACCGTGCAGAAAGTCACCTGTAGGACCATATTTGGAGTCATTGAGTCTGAGACTAGTGCTGCTTCACTACTCGTTTCCTTGTACACGTACATGTGTGTATGTGTACATGTGTTTATGTATTTATAGTCCATAGACGCAAGCTATTCCCGTGATAAAATTATTAACAATTAAATGCCAAAATTCAAAAAACTGTAGTTTACCAGTAAAAAATAAAGCATTTTGAACTCATTCGGAGTTAATTATTTAAAACGCGTTTAAAACTTTAAAATTGCGATTTAATACATTGGTAAATAAGTCCTAAACCTAACCTTGATATGTCGACTCTAATGAATTTTCCATGTGTCATTGGTAGTCCTAATCTTCAAAAGCTTACTGTCAAAGTGTTCATGTCATTCGGATTAATATTTACCGGGTTTATTTAACTATTATAAAAATGAATCTACAATCTTGATTTTGCTGGGAAATTTGGGTCTTCTAATGTTAAAAATGGGTTAAAATTTCAGAATAATTCATCAATTATTTAAAGTTTTGTTTTTGCAATTTTTTTTAAATAACAAGTCAAAAAAATGTACAATGTTTCTATGCGTTACATAAGCAAGAGGGAAAGTTATCCTAACACAAGAATTTAAAAAAAGTGGGAAAAACCATCTCCAACACAACATAACTTGATTGCAAAATCATTACAATTTTTAATGAATACATTTAGAATAATGTTTTCGCTATTGTCCGGGAAAAAGGTATTTTTTCGTATTCGAGGACTTTATATTTTTGCACAAATTAAAAAAAAAAGTTGCCCTACAGGACAAAAAACAGGGACGAAGTTGGTCACTTTTTTAATAATTAATAGAAACAACATATTCGTAATGTATGCAAAGAATACAAATTATAAAAAAAACTTCAAAATTCATGAACAAAAACCGGAGATATTTTATAGCTCGAGTTTTAAGTTCATATTTCATTTTTCAATATCGCCGATTTGAAAAAGGGACTTCATCCAGAAGTCTTGTAAAACAAGTTGTCCGTCGGACAACTTGTTTTAACTTAGCCAGCTTTTCGAATATGAAAAATATTTTTTCCCCGGCAATATCAAAAGTTTTCAAATTGTTTATAAGCAAAAAATTGCAATCAAGTTTTGCAACGTTGGCAATGTTTTTTTTAAACTTTTTTTTTAATTCTTTTGATAGAATACCTTTCTCTTGCTTATGCTACCCGTAGAATCACTGTAAATTTTTTTTTACTTGTGTTATTGCAAAAAAACTTGTTGGGGATAAACAAATTGAATGATTTTTAAACTTATTGGGGCATCACTCTGAAATTTTAACCACATATTTAATACTATGAGACGCAACTTCAAGCAATGTATGTAATACCAAGGTGGCATTTTTAAAATAGTGAATTAACATTTATTAAAAATTTGGAATTCTTTTTTTTACAGTTTTCTAATCAACAAATTTGTAAATCAACATTCAAAATCGCCATTTTAAGTCTTTAAACGCGTTTTATCAAATAATTACCTCCAAATTCGTCCAAAATGCTTTACTTTTTACTGATAGACAAAAGTTCTTAAATGGTGCATATTGTTGGCCTTAAATGTTTATAATTTAAAAAGTCACTGCAGGAAACATCGAGGTACATAAAACTCAAAAAACTTGTTAGATACTTGGGTGGGTCAAAGTGTCCCAACAGGCTATTTTTTTACCCTATTTCTCTGAACCATTTGTGTTTGTGTTGTCAACGTTAATGGCATAACCCATATGTCACGTTCTCATTTACTCCTCTTTTTTTTTTATTTGGTTATATCTTTTTCACATTTGTCCTATACATCCATAAGACGGTTCCCTTTTAGATATTAGGGCGTGCCGTGTCGGTGATATGAACTTCCACAATTTTGTCCTATGTGGAGTACTGTAGAGTCGCTTTATATTCTCCTACCAGTATGGGCGAGAACTCTAGAAATTTTTTTTGGCCCGCCAGCTCTGAATTACTTACGATCCAATGTATTTCCGGATACTATTTTTTTATTTTACCTTCGTTTATGTATGCATATAATGGTATTCCATTTTTCATTTATGTGGGTTCTGTCTCAAATCTGTACATTTTATTTGTCTCTTAAGTAGTGTTATTGTGCTATGCATTTGAAATCACAATAATTTTCTGTGTGGGAGCTATAGAAGGTCTTACATCAATTAATAACGTATATTTCGTATAGTAAGTGTAAATCTTTAGAAAATCTAACATTTCTATGGAGTTCTAAATTTGTTTAAATGCATATTTTGAAGTAGATGTTTTTAAATTTTTGGGCACTTGGGCAGTATATTTGGATTGCCTTAACATATTTCATTACAGTCCAAAAATACTGTTTATATTTACATATTTTTGGTTTTTTGGGTTACAAAAATTTTTGTTTTGAGTTCTAAAAATGATTCAATTAAAACCATTTTGATTGACTTAAATTCAATTGACACCAATTTAAATTTTGTAACAGTTTAAAAAAAAACTAATTATTTATTATTAAAAGAAATTTTCACAAAGTTTGACCAGAATGAACATGGTAGGGGTAGCTTTTATATATTACAAATATTAATGGTTTAACTTATCAATTTTTGTATAGAATCAAATACGCTTTTCTTATTTTATGATATAATTGACGAGCATAAGATCATTTTTCATTAAAGTTGACATGGTTTCCTGTAATTTTGGCCTTAATCGTTTTTTAAATCGTTGGGAGCCCCCGCTTTTTGACTTTTTTAACAGTTACATGCATGATTCTGCTTCGAAGTCATGCTAGCTGCTTAGTTGAATTGCCGAATTCAAACAGAAATTTTTTTACATTGGTTAATGTTTCAAAATACATCGCCTGACTCTTTTGCCACCACTATCCGACAAACAAATGCGGTTACCTCTTTATTTTGTATATTTAGACCAAGCAAAAGGACTGTATACTACTAGTGGAAAAAATGCATTTATTTATAGCCTTTTATTTTCGATAATAGTAATATATGTTAGACTTCATTAAAAATTTTTATTTAAGTATGTTTGAATAAATTCAAATTTAGGTATGTTACACGTTTTTCCTATTTACCTATTCAGGTAATATTTAGATAATTACAATACATTACGGCTAAATGGTGAGGTTTTTTCAACTCATTTTAAAGCATTTAGATTAGTATATTTTAAAGGTATCTAGAGATACGATGGTACATATATATATTTTGGGAAGTACTTAAGTGTAAGAGTGTTTTGAGAAGTACCTATATACACTCACACACACAGTGATTTGGGGGTATCCAGATATATGCTTTATTTCCTGAGTATTTAGAGACTACAGGTGATTTTGAAAACATTTAGAGAGATTTAAGAAAATACTTAAATGTTTTGAGATATTTGGAAAACATCTAGGGACAGACGAGTGTTTTTTGAATTTTATAACTAATTTGGGAAGACCTATAGACATATGAGAAATTTCTAAAGACTTTTGAGTGAATTTAGAGGTGCTTATGTGACATTTGTCTGTTGTAAGAAGCACCTAGAGTGAAGACTTTTTAATGCAGATATCGTGAAATCTATCAAAATAAACCGCCTAAGCTAGGTGGACCACGTTATACGGAGGGATGAAAGTGATCCTTCAAAAATAACAATGCTAATAAGGCCGGTCGGAAGAAGAAGAAGGGGGCGACCTAAACTCAGGTATTAGGACGATGTGTAGGGTGATTTAAGGGAGATTGAAGTAGGAGGATGGAGAAGACACTTGGCATGAAAGGATGGAAGAATGTTTTGAAACAGGCCAGGGTTCACGAAAGAACTGTAGCTCTAACTGTTGATAGTGATGATGATGAAGAAGCACCTAAAGATATGTGAAATATTTTGGAAATAAGTTGGGACATATGAGTGATCTAGAACCAAACGTATGAGTGATTTGGCAAGTAACTAGAAACGTATCGTTGATTTAAGAAATATGTATAGATATTAGTGATTTGAGAAGTATTTGGAGATGTATGAGTAATTTGAAAAGTACCCAAAGCTAATGCATAATATCTTACGTACGTACAGATACGTGAGTAATTTTGAAAATTCAAGTGACAATTTACGGTTTTAAAAGCACTTATAAATCTATGCCTATACATGATCTAAAAACGTATAACTGATGTGGGAAGGACCCAGAAAAGAATTGGTAATATAGGAGATAGCTATAAATATAATAGAGTGACATAACATAAGAGTGATTTGGGATGTATTCAGATACATATTAGACTTATACTCAGTACAGACTACTCATATACTGTATTACTATACATGTATAACTGATTTTGAAAATAATAGAGATATTTGACTGATTTTGAGTACCCAAAAATATGTGTGCTATTTGGGAAATACCAAGAGACATGGGTTATGTTAAAGCT